GGCTTGCCTAGTCAGAGAAAACAACAAGATTAAAGCACTGGAAGTTAAGGAAACTTGCCATCAAGGAATACGTACTGAATAATTTTATTAATTTGTAAATGACTCCTCGTTAGGAGGATTAAATACAACTTTCTTGTTGAAGCAATCTATGGTGGCGTGATACGCCGCTAGCCAATCCATTCCTAAGATTACATCAAAATCTCCCGTGTCTAACCTTATCAGGTCTACACTCAATTTTCTATTTGCTATCTCCACGACACAAGCCCTATAGATAGCTTCCCCTAGTAGTGTTTCACCCCCAGCAGTAGACACAAACAACAGTGATTCAAGTTTATCAAGTGATACATTAATTTTGGAAGCAAAAATATGTGAAACAAAAGAGTGCGATGCACTAGTGTCAAATAAAACATGAGCAATATGGTCACAGATAGCATATATACCCAGTACCACATCCGGGTCGGCGTCGGCATCCTGCTGGTTAAGGTTGTAAGCTCTGCCCTAGATAGGAGGCCTCCCTTGATTTTGGTTCCTCGGGCATTCTCTGGCATAATGCTGGGCACTGCCACAAATGCGACAAGTGTTGTTGAGGCGGTAGCAGGGTCGGTCCCCGTGATCTCTGCCACAGTGTTGACAGATCTTCCCACGTGCTGCCCCTAGAGCCTGAGGAGGGGCCTGGATGGCTGGTCTGGGCCTCTTGTTTGGTTGGGTAGGCGTCGTAGGTGCTGGCTTGCGGAACGGAGCTAAGGGTCGGGAACTCCCTCCTGGCTGAGGACGGGTGCTGAAGCTTCTTTCCACGATCTGTGCCTTTGCTAGGACTGCTGAATATGTCTTGAGCTCCAGTACTACTAAGTGTTGCCTGATCTCTAGGCGGAGACCCGACTGGAATCTCCTGGCCTTTCGGCCCTCATCCATCAATGTCTCCGGGGAGTATCGGCCCAGCTCGAGGAACTTACAAGCATACTCTGATACTGTCATGTTTCCCTGAACCAGTTGAACAAACTCCATTTCCTTTAGTGTCGGATGTGCTCAGGGAGATACTCCGCATGGAAGCCGTTAGGAACTGCTCTCAAGTGACTAGTGTAGCAGGTGGCCTGTTTGAGCTCCACCAACGTCCTGCTTTCCTACCAGCATGACGAGCAGGCAGCTCTCTGCTCAGGACTACTCCAGATCCTGAAGCTCTCTCAGTCTCGCTAGCCAGTA